CACGCGGAGGTCAACGCGTTGATGAGACACGCGGCAATGCTTTTGCCTTGCCATTGTTGTGCTTAACCTCAACTTGCATGACTGGCCGCTTTGCTGTCGAGTTAGGCAGAGCAAAGCACTCGTAGAAAAAAAAATGAGGAGATATTTCAGTAGTGATGAAGCACCTTGTTCGGATAGCATGCATTTCTGTTATAGTTATTCTGCCTTTATTCAAGTAACGAGAGCTGAAGAGGAGAGTCGAAGTCCTGAGGGTACCTCCTGAGGGTTGTCGCCGTCCACAATGTCACTGTTAGGCGCCCATTGTACTTATGATCGAAGCACCACTCGGCAATATCCGTGGGCGCTTCAAGTTGAAATCAGATGGTAAGCATTCCCTTGCTTCACTCTTACAAGGCGTTTACAGCAGTATCACCTCTAGTTCCACACCTTTTTCACCCGAACAAACCTCTCAAAGCATCGTGCTCTCATAGTACACAGCCTGAATCTCGTTCTGAGTTAGCTTCGGCGCTGCAGTGAGCCTGTCAGTCGCAATTGCCAACAACAGACAGCGCGTAGGCGGTCAAGGAATGAGTACTTAGTCCGAGTACTATCCGGTATGTTCACGATCATGTGTTACAGGATTGTGTGTCTCTCATCTAACTCTATAGGTCAAGCACGATGCTTTTGAATGTTCCGTATGATATCTATGAAGCGGAACCAGGACATCATATGAAAGCTGGTCACTGAGTAATTCCGAACGCCATACGACTCTCAGCTAAGTCATGTGTGCGAGGTACGTATGTGTACAATGTTCCGTACCACAGAGATGATATCTCGGCCTTGTTCACGCCTCCAGAAGCCCCTCTATGTCATTCCATCCCCCTTTAACCAAGGATTCACCTCGTCTGAGTTCTCCATTTCTGAAATGTCGCCGGTCAACCTCCGACATCAGAATAGCCGCCCTCGCCCTGTTTCATTCGCGAAGTGCACACAAACAGACTCACATGTCATAACGAGCAGACGCTCGTCATTGCACCAGTCAATAGCCTCGAGACTTACTTAGGTGTAGTCGCGCGCCTTCAGTTGACACTTGCATATCATCGCCAGCTGCCTGACATCGGCAGGGTGCATTTCTTCGTCGCTCGTGCTAGCCCCCGAATCTCCATGCGTTCATGTTGGCATCTGTGCTCAAACTCTAGACCGCTCAACAGGTGTTCTCGTTATGGACGACCGGCGTGTACGAATTCCGCATCCCTACATTATTAGGGGATTATGGACAGTCCAAAGAGAGGTGCGGCCAACGAGGTATAAATGGCGAAGGGCTTGAGCATGCAGCGACAACCAGCAGCTCGTAGGTTCTCAGCTCTGCGAAGTCATCTCCGCCATCCAGCAGTTTCCGATATGAAGACCATCTTTACCTCTCTTCTCATCGCTACGGTATGTCGATGTCCCGTGCGCCCGCACATTTGCTGCCCGCGGTTTCTTACACTCATATCTGCTGCAGACGATGAGCATCGTCGCGCTCGGCAAGGCAGTCAGATCCGACAGCCGCCTCGCGTTCTGCGCTCAAGGCGATTACGACAGCGAACAGAATCTCGCGCTCTCTAGCCCCGCACCTGGCGCGGCCAAGCAGGTGCAGAGGGTCGGCGCATGGAAGGCTCTCGGATGCTACAGGTATGACTCCTTGAGCGCGCGTTGGGCTTATGGAGTGCTAACGGCGAGAAACATATAGCGACTCGGTGATCCAGCACGCGCTCTCCGCCCAGATGGACGCTGACGAAGCCACCGTCGAGTCGTGCACCAGCGCGTGCTTCGAATCGGGGTTCACGTACGCCGGGCTCGAATACGGCGGCGGGTGCTGTTCGTCTTTCCTTGTTCTGACTCCCGTTTTCGTGACGCGGGCTCATGCGTATGTGTGACAGTCTGCCACAACGAGCTCGACAGGTTCGCAGCCCCTACGAAATCGAGCAAGTGCAATATCCCGTGCGCCGGAAACAGCGCGCAGATATGCGGCGGCATCGCCTCGCTTACTATGTATAGGTACACGGGCGGCTTCGAGCCTGAGGACACACCGGTGGGTCTCCCGTCTCTACTTCTGAGTCTCTACAAGACTCATTATATTTTCGCGTGTGACGTGGATTATCCGCAGGTCGCACAGGTCAAGCTGCACAACAGTGGCTGGTACTCGGCGTACGTCCGTGTTATTTACGATGGCACCACGAGCGACCGGCTTGGCAGCTCTATCACTGGTGGATCCTCGCATACCGTCAACCTCACCGACTACGACCTGCTTACCGAAGGCGAGAGTGTATGTCTGCGATCATCTGTTCTTTTACATGGTCACCTACCGTTTCTCGGTGGGATCATGAGTTATGGACGTCGATGCTGACTATGGCGTAGTTCCAGGTGAAGCTGGACGTCGTGTCTGGCAAGGACAAGATCTCGAACACGATCCTCACGTACAGCTCGGAGAACCCGGATTGCACGGCCGATTTCCATAGCGGAGGCGGGGTTGGCAATGCGTTCATTGCGTTTGATGGGTATAGCGGATGCTGAGCGGGCGGCGGCATGGACACTTTCTTGGACTATGTATCCGTCTCGGGGTACCAATCTGTTTTCCTTGGTCGGTTGTACAGGTTATTTTTGGGAATACAATTATGATTTATAGGGTTCTTCTTGAGTATACGCGTAGGCAGCTCCGTGAGATCGTTCGCGGGTCGGCAGCGACTCGTCGGTACTGCATACACTGTAAGTATATCCTTTTCGGTCATGTTTGTGGTTTTCCCTTGGACCAAATGGACTGTGCTCAGCAAGAATATGTACCACACCCTGAGAGTGGTCTTCTGGAGGTTCGGCAGGAAGCACGGCCGGCGATTGCCGCAGCGTCGCGTCCCGCGGCGCGCCAACGAAGTGACTCTTGATGTCGACCACGGCGTTCTCTCTTGTCCTTCTCCTCATGAAAGCGATTTCTCGGTATTAATACTACCCTTTGGCCTCTTCAATCTATCCTCGGCGGTGCTGCTTGCCACCTCATTGAGCTCACTCGAGAAATCGCGTACCTGGCGCGTCCTGCGAAACTGAATCTCTTTTCGAACTCTAGGAACGCCGGCGCCGGCGCCCTCCCATTTCGCTGCTTAAGGTCCTAGAAGCGAATCGAGGCACACCCCGGTACGAGCACGTCGCACAAATTCCGCTCGACATCTACTAACCTATTTTGAAGAATACCCAGCTGCCAGTGGCTGCAGTGATCTGCTTGACTGGCGTCTCCAGACGGTCCTTTCGCCTTGAGATCATATCGACATACATCATCTGATTTCTCAGGACACACCTGCTGCTCGCAGAACTCCCAATAGCCGCCCTACGTTGTTTCGCCTATCATTGAACTGTCTAAAGAGGACCTCACGTGGCATCGTTCCCAGACGCTCGTTAGGCAATTCCAATATAGCGCATTCAACTCGAAGCCGTGATGGTGTCCTCACAATGCGGAGACGTGCCGTATGTGAAACCGGTCGGAAGCCTTTTCTGACGGATTTCTCTAAATCCGAGGCATGTCGGTTTGTCATGAGTCGGGGCTCGGATGTTCAGTACCGCGTTTGCGTTGTGCTCGTGCCGGTCTGTTGGTGCAAGACACTGGCATTTTGGTGTCATTTTCGTCTGGGATGGCTGAGGGAGGTGAAGTGCTCGAGGGTATAAATACTACGAGGTCCAGGTCTGTATCGACAGTCAACAGTTCTCGAGTTTTCAACTTTAGCAAGACATCTCTACCACTGAACCAACATGAAGTTCATATTTACCTCGCTCATCGTCGCTGCGGTTCGTCCTTAGTCTCGCATCCCTAATCGAATTATTACTCACCCCAACCTTGCGCACGTAGATTACAAGCATGGTCGCACTCGCCAGCCCGGCTCAGGTTGCCCTCCCAGGCGATAACCACGTCGAGCTCAGCGAAGGCTACAACGCCCCGGACGTGGTCGACACCTTTGCGCAGCCATCCCTGCCCGTCGCGATGCAGAGCGTGGGCGCGTGGAAGGCTATCGAGGGTTATTAGTGCGTTGCTCGCTCTCCCATGCAGAGGTTGTGTGCTGACCGAGATCGCTTCGAACAGCAACCAGCTGGCCGACTACCTCTCCGCCGCAGAGGCGAAATGCGACAAAGACAAGGACAGCGAAGAAGATGATCGCACTGACGACGATCCCCAAGGACAGGCCGTACGTCTCCGCACCTCCTCCGCGCAGCAGACTGCTCCTCACCTCGTATCTGTCGTGCGTAGGTCCAACTGATCACCTTGCACAACACTGGCGGGTACACCGCGTACGTCCGCATCGTGTACAGGGGTATCACGAGCGACCGCCTCGGGCCATCCTATCCTACCCGGAAGGAGCACACGATTGACCTCTCGCAGTTCCAGCTGCTCAAGGAGGGCGAGACCGTGAGTTGCTTTCCTTTCTTTCTCCATCCCCTACAGTAGCCGCTTTCCCCTTCCCTTTCCCTTCTCCTTCCCTTGAATCCAATGATATAGCTTTCTGACGATGCTGACAATGTACGCAGTTCCAGGTCAAGGTCGACGTCGTGTCTGGCAAGGACGTGACTGCGACTACGGTGCTCACGTACGGTACGGAGGACAAGAACAGCAACGCGAAGTTCCATAGCGGAGGGGGCACGCAGACCGCGTGGGTCGCGTTCGATGGGTACTCTGGGTGAATACCGAACGATGAACAATGAGTGTCCGAGCTCGGGGGCAGGATCCTGCGCTGGTATCCTGACTGTGGGGTTCTTCGGTGGTGTTGGATGAATTGTGGCATCTTCTTTCAATTAGGGACATAGGAATAATTCACTCCTGTACCGAGGAGTCCTTTCTCTGCCTTATGATGTTTATATCTTTACCATCTGCCCTGGCATACTTTTTGCTTTCTGAAGGTGTCGATTATCGTGTATGCCTTACCATTTTATGGGTGATGAACCGAGATCTTTCGGATGGCTACTGACATGTTGTGCCAACCTTAGAGCGCGAAGTGTACATGTCGGATATGGTGTAATGGCTAACATTACCGCCTCTCACTTAGAGAGCCCGCGGTAGCTCGGGGTTCGATTCCCCGTATCCGAACTCAAGAGTATGGATGAGTTCTTTGATGTTTTAACTCTTCTAAAAATTTTTATAGCTCAGTACAGCAAGCACACTCTGTCTACATCAGTATAAGTACTTACATCTTGTGTGCAGGTTTTTGACGCACTGTTATGGCAGGCCGTCTGTAGCATCCAATTCTCCAGTTCCATTTTCTTATTGCGCTGGTCCTGTAGTCTATACATATGCAAGCTGACGCTTCCACACAGTAAATGAAACAGAGCTTTCACAGACCATCTTCATTCGATTTCGCGACGTCGACTCTGAGAACAGGAAATATATACAACTAAACTACTGCAGATGAGCGCATGTCGGAACCACCGACCCGCCCGCGCCCACATCCACTGGCCCTATGACAGGTCAGCAACTGCAGAAACCACCGGGCGCGGGCATAAGGTGCTAAGACGTTCCGCTTGATCGGGGCATGGCTTGACACTCGAACGGCCGCGTGGGATAAGCAGCTGTGAGCAACACTGGGGAAAGTAAAGCCATGTCGCCGCACGAAGGAGAGGAAGACGCACGACGCGTCTTTTTATGCGTTGGAGGGCGTGGGAACATTGAGCCTGTTTGATTGGCGGGAGAGGGGCGCGCTTTCATCGACGTCGACGGTGGATGGTCGGCGACGATGAGGACGATGGCGCAGTACAGCGCAGAGGCCGATCATCGCGTGTGTCGGTGAGAAGGAGTTGGTAGAGCTTGGTCTACGACTTGGTGATGGTTTCGGTGCGTGGTTATATTTATATATTTCAATGACATTACGAACTCACTTCATTCGAGATCTATAGGACTTTGCAGCGTTCTGAACAACCGATTTACTATGACATCCCTTACCAGCAATGGTATACAGTATCTTTGTCGACTTGATTGAGTAACTCCAGAAGCGGCGGTTTTATCGCAGCTACGAACGCACTGCGGATGCGGCGCAGAACAGCATCTCCGCCATGCGTCCCAACTAGGGTCGCCCGTCGCGCCCTAGTCTTCATTGCCAGGTCTACCAAGAAGACAGACGATCCTCGCTGAGGGAGCGTCTGCCCCGCCGGGCAACTGCTTAGCAGGAACAGCCGAGGGATCTTCGTCATGTACTAAGCTAGCGCTGGTAACACCTGATCATGCGAACATGAAGCCACACCATCCGCAGGCTCACCCGCGCCCGATCGGTGCGTCTCCTTATAATCCTCTTCGCGCCCAATGCC